ACATAGCGGTTTGCCACCGGCGCTGCTCGAGTGCCATACGGATGGTGGTGGGATCCTCTGTTTTCAGCTGCAGCGGCTGGAGCAGCACCGCTGGCAAACCACTATGTGCAGCGAATGTGCGGCATGGCTACGTATGGCGCATGCATCATACATAGCTGTGCCGCACATGCACCCTGCGTAGCGACGCCCCACCCCTGGGTGTCACAATGCCTTTTTTCGCCCCTGGCTGAAGCTCATGGGATGCATCAGCAAACTTCAGCCTAAGTTTATGCAAGGGAGGACCTGGAAGCAGTGGAACATGGCTGGGGCAGCGATCCAAAAATATATGGATCGATGGAAGGATGATGGAGACAAGCCTTCTGCAATGATCAGCTCAAACTTCTGGCAAGAGCAGTCTGTCCCTATCCTGGCATCCCTCTGGATGGGTAGGAAGGGAGAGCAGAAATGGAATGAGACAAAGAGTGAAAATTTGCAGTTTCCAAAGCAATATGAGAAGTAGAACACAGTCGTCCTTTGAAATATGCACTTTTCTGAATTTTGCAGTGCGCTTCTCCAGCCATGCAAATGCTAATGTAAAGTGTGCATCATCATCATCATCATCATCATCATCATCATCATCATCATCATCATCTATTGAATTTATATACTGCCCTATACTGGGAGGAGGGGGTCTCAGGGCGGTTCACAGAATAAAATCAAGATATAAAACCACAAAATACAGTGGTACCTCACAAGACGAATGCCTCGCAAGACAAAAAACTCGCTAGACGAAAGGGTTTTTTGTTTTTTGAGCTGCTTCGCAAGACGATTTTCCCTATGGGCTTGCTTCGCAAGACGGATACGTCTTGCAAGTTTGTTTCCTTTTTCTTAACAACGTTAATACAGTTGCGACTTGACTTCGAGGAGCAACTCATAGAACGCGGTGTGGTAGCCTTTTTTGAGGTTTTTAAAGACTTTGGTGATTTTTGAAGCTTTTCCAAAACTTTCCCGACACCGTGCTTCGCAAGACGAAAAAAATCGCAAGACGACAAAACTCGTGGAACGAATTAATTTTGTCTTGCGAGGCACCACTGTACCTAAGAAAGAAACCAACAACAACAACCCAGTAGCCGCCCCCCCCAGATTGCAGATCTTATTGAAAGAAACATACAAAAATGCATTATACTAGGGGGAACTGCTTTGCAAAAATCTGTATATTAGGGGGAAATTGCATATAAAGTGTGTATATTAGGGGGAAATCGCTCTAAGATGCTGCTGAATTTTCACGAGAACTTCTTTTTTTAATAGAAAAATTGCAAACTGATTTGGAAGGTGTGGAGAACTGAATTGAAGATGGAAAAATAAGAAATTGAGAGGAACTTAAATTTGCCCCGCCCACCACTACCTTAAGCTAAGTCCTGTCCATCACTAGCTCAAGCCCACCCACAACCATCAGTCTCTGACACATTATCCCCAAGACAATGCAGCTCCCACAGGATTTTTTGAGGGAAGAGGGGAACAAAGTAAAACACTGAGGGGAGATGAGCAAGCTCCTTTCTCACAAAAATAGAGACTAATGGTACCTGTACATTTTGTTTCATATCTACAAGTGCTAGAAAAATACTCTTTTTTTCTTTTTCTTTTTAAAAGAATGGTGGTAACCTGGAGAGTATGGTTCATTACAGGGGAAACAACTGTCCCATTCTCTCCTCATGGGTGCCAATGAATATTGCCCTCAAGGAAAAGAAAAAAATCCCCTTTCCTACCATAAACCAGATTTCCAGAAGGAGAGGGACTGTTAGACCAGAGGGCCATGGAGAGCTGACCTGTGAGTGGTAGTGGTATAATTATTGTTGTTGTTGTTGTTGTTATTATTATTATTATTATTATTATTATTTGAATGTATATACTGCCCTATATCTAGAGGTTTCAGGGCGGTTCACATAACAAAATCAAAATATAAAACCACAATATATATAATCAAAATAAAAGCAACAACCCAATAACACCCCCTCCAAAAGAACCACATTTTAAAAGGATGTCAATCAAATCAACCAAAGGCCTGATTAAAAGGGAACATTTTTGCCTGGCGCCTAAAGGTGTATAATGAAGGTGCCATGAATGGTAGAACAGCCTCTTTTTTTCTTTTCTTTTTTACCATGCTATATTGGAAGCAAAAAAACTTGTTTTGATGAATTGGAAGAGCCGCAAAAAGTTTCCATTGAGCACATGGATTGATAATATGGACAGATTAGCTACATACTGAAGAATTGCATGTCGACGCAAAATAAGAATGGATAAGTATGAAGAAATCTGGAATGAATATTTAAGCGATAAGGCAGATAGTGGTGGGAAGTAGGGGGAGGAGAGAGAGAGGTGGGAAAATATTGTTCAAAAAAGGTGTGGTCATAGGTATATCAGTGTATTCAAATCTGAATTGTCAAATTGTGTTGTTATTATTATTATGGTTTTTGTTGTATGTGTCTTTTGCGGTTGATGTTTGTATCAAAAAATGATTAAACAAATTTAAAAAAAGAACAGCCTTTAAAAAAACAACAACAACTATACTTGCATGCACCATTCTGTGTCTATCACAGACGCTTCAAGAATTGTGAGATTGTGGGAAGTAGACTCATTCTGCGACAAAAACCCTGCTGCCTAGTGGCAGTATGCTGTTGCAATTATGGTAGGAGCCAAAGTGTTCCACTCAGGGCCGGCCCAAACATGAGGCAAGGTTAGGTGAGTGCCTCAGGCGGCAGGATTCACAGGGGCAGAATCTTTATCCACCTGTGAATACATATAGGGCAGCAGTTCTTCTGGGGAGCACCCGGGAAACATTGAAACCTATGCTGTACAGCATAATGCAGACTTCGTTTGCTCGACACTTTAGATCCTAGTGGCGTCATCTCCCAAACTTCGTAGCCACAGCAAACATTGCATGGTGGCTGAAGAGAATCTAAAAATAAAACAGGGAAGCAATAAATAAACAATGGGCCAGCTAAAGCCTCCAGGAAGCTTGGTGTCTGAGGGAAATGATGTGGGGAACTGGGTGAAGTGGAAACAAGGACCTGAGTGTGCTTGTACCGCTTTGCTAATGGAGTCGGCTACAAAGATGAGAGAGGAATTAAGTGTTCCTGACAGAATGGGCTCCGTTTTTAAACTGGTGTTGCGGCACACTTTGCATGAGACTGCCTTTGTCTGAAGACAATTTGGAAACCGAAGTTAGTTGAGAACAATGGGGCCAGGTTAGGTTGCTAAGGGAAACTGGGTGAGGAAATCCTACCTTGCACGTACTGAAACGATCCCACACAGTTCCAGCTAAGTTTCCAAGCTCCATTCACAGTGTTGGTCTTAACCGTTAAAACCCTACGTGCCTCAGGCCATGGTTGGAATAGACATACTTAGAATGGTGCTATTGTCTGTTAGCTACTCTGGAAACAACCAAACTATGTGCAAGGTGTGCGATGTAAATGATGTAATGAAAGGATTATGTAATGAAAAAATTGGGGAAAGGGATGCCAAACAGCATAAATAAGAGCCATCTGCAAACTGAGGTATGAAGGGCCCTTGAAGTTATTTATCAGCCAGGCATGTTTGCTCAAATTGCAAATTCAACGCGGTCAGGTCCCAGAGGCCAGTCCTTCAGAAATTAAAGGCAAGGAAAAACAGTTGCCATCTGGTCTCTCAAAATGCAGCATGGGGACCTGCGAAACTGTCTTAAAACACACACACAGGATCATATTTGGCTCAGACGGATGATGTAGCTGTCTATATTCCACTGTTTGACAGTGGAATGGACTCCCTCAGGAGGTTGTGGACTCTGCTTGCTTTGAGGTTTTTAAGTAGAAGTTGAATGGCCATCGTCTTGGGTGCTTTAGTTGAGAATCCCGCATTGCAGGGCGATTGTACTAGATGACTCTTGGGATCTCGTCCAACTCCACAATTCTATGATTCTATAGTAGGAACACAAAGATTGAGTAGAGCATGGCTAGAATACTAAGGGCCAAATACTGGAAAAGTAATACCGACAAAAGATGAGTGGCAATTGAAGTTGTACCTCGAACTAGTCAAAATGACAGAAATGTTAGGCGACAAGGTAAAAGAAAAGGAATGGGTTTGCTTCCAAAATGGCCTGACTAAATATGGTTCCAAAAATAATACATGGTTGTGCTTAGATTAATTTCACAGATATAATGGGGAAAATTGATTTAATGAAGGAATACAGATTGTTGGTAACCAATGAGAAGTGTTGAAGCCGCAGAGAGATAGAGGGAAGTCAACTAACATAACAGGGATTCAAGCAAGTTTACTGGAACAGAAAGCAAGGGATTGTAAGGGAAGAAAGAAAAGAAGAAATATAAATGTAATTTCTTTCTGGGAGCCTTTTGTATAAAATATTCAAATTACGGTTTGTATCCTTTGAACAATTTTGTGTATCTTTGGGTGATATCCTAAAGTTATATGTAAATAAGCCAATGAATAGTACTCATGTAAGGTAAAGGTAAAGGACCCCTGGACAGTTTAGTCTAATCAAAGGCGACTATGGGGTTGCGGCTCTCATCTCGCTTTCAGGCTGAGTGAGCTGGCGTTTGTCCACAGACAGCTTTCCAGGTCATGTGGCCAGCATGACTAAACCACTTCTGGTGCATGGAGGACTGTGACAGAAACCAGAGTGCATGGAAACGCTGGTGACTTTTCCACCACAGTGGCACTTATTTATCTACTTTCACTGGCGTGCTTCCAAAATGCTAGGTTGGCAGGAACTGGGACAGAGCAACGGGAGCTCACTCCATTGTGGGTATTCAAACCGCTGACCTTCCGATCAGCAAGCCAAGAGGCTCAGTGGTTTAGACCACAGCTCCACCTGTGTCCTGAATAAACAAGCACACAATCACTGATAGGCCCACCTGCCATTGTGAGGCTCAAAGCAATGAAGTTGATGCTTCCTCAGCTGTTGCCATTGGCTGTGGGTTTCTTGTGATGTCACAAAGCCCTTGGCAACTGAGTGGATATAAAGGCAGGCCAAGGGGAAAGCCCTTTTCTGTTTCCAGCAGGACACACCTGGCAATGGATGTGACATTCAGCACTGCCCAAGTTTCTTCCTCTTGGGGGAAGCAAAGTGGTGAATGGAAGGAGGCAATCCTCTGGCAGTGGGATGCTAGGGAACGATAATAAGGCACGTTTGCTTGCTTGAAGGCTGCTGGTATCTATGGTTGGAAGCTGGTGGACGTCTCATGATGGACCTAAGAGAAGCTGGCAGATGTTGGTAGATGGAAGTCAGTGGTTTTTGGATTCAGAAGTCAGTGGAGGCTACAAGGCTAAAGCAGACTGATGTTTGTGGATGTTGGCTGATGGAAGTTCACCTGTGGAAGACAGTCAACAGAAGCCAGTAGATATTTGTGGATTGCAGCCAGGGCACAAACATGAATGGTTGTCATGTTTTTGGATGTCGGCTGGAATATGTTTATGTGAGTACATGGGAGGTTTCAAATGGGGTTGAGGCAAAATGGTGTTTGCATGTGCACAAATGTGATTTGTGGAAGGTAGATATTCATAAATAGATGGAACCCGTGGGAGGGGGGATATTGGTTTCATGGAATCAGAGAATCAGGGAATCGAGTTTGGGAGGGACCATGAGGGTCATCTAGCCCAACCCCTTACAATGCAGGAATCTTTTGCCAAAAGTGGGGCTCAAACCCACTGGCATGCTTCTGAACGGCTAGGTTGGCAGGAGCTGGGACAGAGCAACGGGAGCTCACCCTGTCACGGGGATTCAAACTGCAATTGGCAAGCCCAAGAGGCTCAGGGGTGTGACTCAGCACCACCTGCATCCCTTGTGTAATGCTTCAAAGGTTAAGAAAAGGCTTTACTTTGTGGCCTGCATTCTGTATAAACCCTGTCTAATACTTTAAAAACAACAACCAGGTGATGTAGGAATAGTTTTTGGTTTGTACATGTCTGGCAGAAACCAAATAAGAATAAATTATTCAAATGTTCCAAAAGTTGATACATGAAAGGAAGTAATTCTGGGGGGAAAGCAGCAGAAACCTGAAGCAAGGGTGACTTTAGGGAAAATTAGACGGGGAGAGCCAAGTGGTGGTGAAGACTATTATTGTGGGAGAAGGAATTCCACTGTTTATGGATACTTTATCAAATTCAGGAGAATGCTGTTAGTAAGGTAGATGATGTTGAAACTAAGCTGGCCTGGGTGAGGCCAGTACCTGGTTGGGAGACAGGTGAGATATAAATGTAGTAAATAAACTAAGGGACGCAGGTGGCGCTGTGGGTTAAACCACAGAGCCTAGGACTTGTCGATCAGAAGGTTGATGGTTCGAATCCCTGCGATGGGATGAGCTCCCGTTGCTCGGTCCCTGCTCCTGCTAACCTAGCAGTTTGAAAGCACGTCAGAGTGCAAGTAGATAAATAGGTACTGCTCTGGCGGAAAGGTAAACGGCGTTTCCGTGCGCTGCTCTGGTTCGCTAGAAGCGGCTTAGTCATGCTGGCCACATGACCTGGAAGCTGTACGCCGGCTCCCTCGGCCAATAAAGCGAGATGAGCGCCGCAACCCCAGAGTCGGCCACGACTGGACCTAATGGTCAGGGGTCCCTTTAAATAAACTAAAAATATATATTACCTTCTCAATAAAGCTGGATATGGCTGCTGTTGGGAGACCTAACATATCTGCCTACAATTCTCTTTGGCTCAAGAAACTTTGACAACTCCTCTCCCCGCATCCAATAGCCATGACAGCTGAACCCCTTTATGTCATCTTTAACCCGACAAGAGCAAGAAAATGTTCTTTGGCATACAGCACACCATATAGGAAAACTCACACATATCTTTTTATTTCCAAGCAGCTGCACCACATTGACAGCCTTGGATTTCTGTTCTTTATGGTGTTTAATTGCTTTTGTTCCTGTCAGTCTCCGTTCTGTCTATATCACGCCTGTAGTGTTCTGCAAGTGGTTTCAATTTTAAAAAGTAAAGGGAGTTCTCACATTTTGCTTACGCTAATTGACACCAACTAGAACAGTATTATTTCCCAGAAGATCTTCCTTAAAACTCTCCAGTTAGTCTGCAAAGCACTGGCGAAAAAGGGAGCATGTTTTCCGAAGTCTATTTTATCTAAGAGACGCTGTTCTTCCCTTGATACTCCTTCAGTCAAAATGTACTACTTGAGCTTTAAATGAATTTTGGGGCATACATGGAGATCTCTTCATTTTATAGGCAAAGACATAGAACCACACAAAAAGCAAACGGTTTCTAAGCCCTCCCACAAATCACTATGATTGGAGGGCTGATCCGCATGATACATTTAAGACACACCCACTTCACATTGGGAGCACATCCCAAACAATCCCAGAAACTGATATTTCCCTTCGCAGAGCACTAGTTCCAAACACCTTCAACAAGCGACAGTTTTCAGGATTCTTTGGGCGAAGTCATGTGATCTGTGATGTGGTCAAGATGATACTTCAAAGCAACTGATGGTTTCAGTTTATGACCCAAATCGTGTTTGGTCACAAGTGTCTGTATTCCCCTATAGCCAATGTTTAATCTGCATGTCATCATTTTTCTCACAAAAGTTATTGTATCGGTCTTTGACTTGGCAGAGTTGGCAGCTTGCACTTAACGCATGTTTCTCTGTGCTGAACGGCTAGTTTTTGAAAACAAGCCTTTACTGGCTTTATTGAGGTCTTGTGAGAGTATGCAGGCTGCCAACAGAGTTTGCAAATTGAGTAATTCTGTAGTTTCATAAAGAATATCGCTGCATAGTGCAATCCGCCAGCAATCCATCTGCTTACAAATGAACTTTGTACTGCATTTGTGCAGAAACAGAATGTGTGCATGACCCGAGGAGGCAAAATGCCATGCTTTTATTGCTCTTGTTGGGAGCTGGGAATGTTTGTGTTTGCTTTAGAGCTTGTTGAGTTTAATTCTTTGAAGCCTGACAGATGTGTCTCCAGTCTCAGGATAGAACCATAATGTTGGAAGCTCAGGCGGGCCTGCGAGGACGTGAGACCACGAGGGCATGCCATGAGCGCATGCAGTGAAAGAGTCACGCTGATGCCGCTAAGTTTGCTTCTGATAAGCGGTGGGATAGGAGACTCTCTGAGAACCAGACATATGCTGCCTAAAGTTTCACTGTGTAAGAAAGGAGAGATATAAGTATTTTCCTAGACTCACAGAGTTGTAGAGTTGGAAGGGACCCCAAGTATCACCTAGTCCAAGCCCTTGCAATGCAGGAATTTTCATTATTACTGATTCCTCTGCTTCCTGACTTATGCTATACAGTGGTACCTTGGTTCTCAAATGCCTTAGTACTCAAACAACTTGGAACCCAAACATTGCAAACCCAGAAGTAAGTGTTCCGGTTTGCGGACCTTTTTCAGAAGCCGAATGTGCTCTGTTTTGAGTGTTACACTTCCGATTTGAGTGTTACGCTGAGGTCTGTTTTTGCTATTTATTTTGCGTTTTTGCGGTTCTTTTTGTTTTGTTTCTGTGACTCTGTGGAACCCAGTTCAGCTACTGATTGATTGATTGGTGGTGTGACTGCAGTACATTGTTTATTGTACATTGCTTATGGATCAATGGTCTCGTTAGATAGTAAAATTCATGTCAAATTGCTGTTTTCGGTTTTTTTTAAAAAAAAGTCTGGAACGGATTAATTTATTTTGCATTGCTTTCTATGGGAAAGCGCATCTTGGTTTTGGAACGCTTTGGTTTTGGAATGGACTTCCAGAACGGATTAAGTTTGAGAACCAAGGTACCACTGTATGTTTGTTTATTCATAGAATCATAGAACTGTAGAGTTGGAAGGGATCCCTGCAATGCAGGAATCTCAATTTTATTACATTTCTGTCCAAGGATCACAGAGCGGTTTACAATAGAAAAATACAAAAATGTACAACATAGTAACAAACAAAAGCAATACATCCCACCCCCCAGTATTATTTATGTTGGCATAATTTGGATTTGGGAAGTCAGAAAATTCCATTGGGGGGAAAAATCCCACAATTGGCACATTTGTCTAAGGTCAGCAATGGAAATCCATGCAAGCAGAGATAAGCAGCGTTTGCTACAATTGTTTTATTATTATTATTATTATTATTATTATTATTATTATTATTTAGTCAACAAATGTTGGATTTAAAATTGCAGAATTTTTCTGCAGTCTTTTTTTTAAAAAAAACCATTTCCCTTCCCCTGAAACACATTGAAATATTTATGTGGTTAATCACGTAAGTTTCGGCCATGGCGGGATCACAAGGTGAATCACTTATTTTTTAGCAGAAGCTGAACTGCAGGGGAATGGAAACACTGATGATTGGGATGAACCTAGAGTGGGAAAGAAGTTAATGCCAGCTTACATTCCTTAGGCTACTTGATATGGAGTCTTCTAGACCAAGACTGTCTCCACTGACTAGGAGAGGTTCTTCAAGGGCTCAGGCAGCCCTTGTACTTGAGACCCTTTGAAAATGGAGGCACTGGGGACTGAACCCTGGAACTTCTGAATGCAAACAATGTACTCTGCTGTTTAGTTATGGTCCCTCCTCTGTACAAAAAAACTTCTATTGTCCTGGGAGAAGGATAGGAGGAGAAGCCACATATTGATAGGAGGAGAAGCCACAGTGACAACATCTCCACCTTTGTTTGCAGACCGATGAAAGGAACAAGTAGAATCTCTCAATTTTAATTATTGTTATCATAGTTTGGAGATGGGCAGATATGCCAATTTTGGTTTCTCTCCCTTTTTCATTTCCCTCCAATCTTAAGTTCAGGTTGCCACATTTCTGCATCAGTTTAAAACACTTTTGTGCCTATTTCTCTGCAGCTATCCATTTTTGTATGCAATGTACCTGCTATAACATTACACACCTTTAGGCGCCAGGCAAAAGCATTCCTTTTTAACCAGGCCTTTGAGTGATACGATTTACATCCTATGCCCTTTTAAAATGTGTTTTTCAGGAGGGGGGGGCTATTGAGTTGCTTTTATTTTTATTATGTATTTTGTGGTTTTATACAGTGGTACCTCGGGTTAAGTACTTAATTTGTTCCGGAGGTCCGTACTTAACCTGAAACTGTTCTTAACCTGAAGCACCACTTTAGCTAATGGGGCCTCCTGCTGCTGCCGTGCCGCCGGAGCACAATTTATGTTCTCATCCTGAAGCAAAGTTCTTAATCAGAAGCACTATTTCTGGGTTAGCGGAGTCTGTAACCTGAAGCCTATGTAACTGAAGCGTATGCAACCTGAGGTACCACTGTATTTTGATTTTATTCTGTGAGCCGTCCTGAGACCCCCGGGTATAGGGCGGTATATAAATTATAATAATAATAATAATAATTAATAATAATATTTTTGTGAGCAATTTCTCTGAATATAATTCATATATGCATTTCTACAAGACATGTCTCTTAATGTCCATCATTTCGTGCATCATTTAGATTAAATGTTCTTTGAGGTCCCTAACCATCCCTACGATTGCTTTTCGGAAGCATTGGACTTGTTCCTCCATGTGGAAAGGAAATATAAAAATAGCAGCAACGAGGTTGTCCAAAATGTGAATAATCATTTCAAGGGCAGTTTCTGAAAAGGAAAACAAAAACAACATTCCAAAGGCTTATACATTTCAATCCACGTGGAAGGGGGAATTCCTGTGTCCTGTTTCCCCTCACACACTCTTGAGAATTTCTGAAAGGCAGTATTGAGTTGCATCAGAGCTGTTGCCTTATGCAACATAATGTAAAGCAAAGTAATTCGTTCAGACTGACGTAACCAGAATGACTACACAAGCAGGCAATACAGCTCACGGAGGCTGATGTAATAAGAAGGAGTGCTCCAGAAATGTGGATGAAAGGAAGGGCACGCCTGTCACAAAACAAAGGAATCCTCTCCCCCGTCCCTCCCCTTCCGAGATCTGCTGCTAGAAAAAGTAAAATATGCAAATACGGCAATAGCTGAGTTTTAGCTCAGCCAGCTGAAGCTGGTGCAGAGAAAGCGAGCAACTGAAAGGACTCTCAGAAGGACATCTCACTGACGGTGCTGCAAAGTTGCTGCTGGGCTATCAGTCTAATCACGGGACTGGTGATCAGGAGGCTATAAAACTGAACTTTAAAAAACCCTACAGAGTTATGTGAACTTTGGCCACAGACAACTGAGCACTAGCTGTTTTGATCCTGCATGTCCACCAGTATGACTTGTATGTACGGAACAGTGTTCACCTTTCTGTATTATTGGGCATGTTGGATACAAAAATATTTCAAGGCGCAAATCAAGCCCGGTGCAGACCACCATTTCTGCCATGTCTGTTGGTTAGCTATTCCAGACTCTCCAAGTCGTTTCCCTATGTTCCAGGGACATTCCCGGATTTACAGAAGCCATCCCGGTTTCTGATTTGATCCTAGAATGTCCTGCTTTTTCTTAGGACGTCCCTATTTTCAAAGGAGAAATGTTGGAGTTATGTGACCCCTGAGCCAAGGAGTAACTATACAACCTTTAGAAAATGAAGAGTTTTTTTAAAAAATGTTTATGATTTGATACATGTTGAAGGCCGCCCAGTGTGGCTGGGGCAACCCAGTCAGATGGGCAGGATATAAATATAGTTATCATCATCATCATCATCATCATCATCATCATCAAATAGGACATCCCTATTTTCACCAGAGAAATGTTGGAGGGTTTGCTATTTAGCAACATGCACCATTTATTCTGTGGATTGGGCAAGGCTTTGATGATGATAATACAGTGAATTATTCCAGCATTCAGTTGCTTGTTTCTATAAAGAGTATGCAGTGTCAAAGTAGGGAGGAAGCATGCCTGGCTAAAGGAGGCAGTGGGAGGTAGAAGATGAAGACCCCTCTCCTCACTCATGTTATACGGTTTGGCTTTGACTTTGTGCCAAATATTCTCTCTGTGCCTCTCTTAACTTACAACCCTAATACTGTGCCTATGGAGATCTTAAAATATTATTGTGGGTACTATTGCCAATCGTGAATCACACAGGCTTTTCTCAAGGCTAGCCAAAGTTCAAGCTATATATTTAGCCTCCTTTCTATGGGAATCACCACCATTTCCAGGACTGCATAAAATATAAAATAAGCAGATTTACCGTTCCTGGATAATGCATTAAGAACCCTACTGACTGAGTATGGCTGCCAAAACATACCTGCTGACTCAGATATTCTGTCATGTTCTACAGCATGCAAGTATATGTATATATATATATGGCAGAATTGCACCCCAGATAAAATAGAAATATAACTGTTGAACTGTATGGTGGGTTTGCCCTTCTTATCTTGTTGTAAAAGCCTCTCCTCCTTACAGAGGGGAGGAGTTGTGAGCAGGAACCGTTTCCTGCGTTGGCAGGGGGCGTTCCAGCCCCTGCCCAGCTGGCCTGGCTGCCACGCCACGCCCCCAGGTAGCCAACCAATCAGGTGGAGGCTTGGGGGCGGGGTTTAGCCGCTTAAACGCAGCCACGGCAGCACTTCCCTTTCATTCTGCTGCTGGTTTCTCTTTTGGCTTGGGTGGCGGTTAGGCATTGGAATATGTTTGTGTATTGGAGGGCAGGGTGTGGCCATCGGATACCCCTCCACTTTATGGGTATTCCGGTAAAGGAATCCGGCGGTCATGGATCCTGTCTGATGCCCTTGCTGGTGGCTAGGGCCATGGCACAACCCCCGGTGACATCAGGAGGAGCTTTCAGTTGTACAGTGGTACCTCAGGTTAAGTACTTAATTGGTTCCGGAGGTCCGTACTTAACCTGAAACTATTCTTAATCTGAAGCACCACTTTAGCTAATGGGCTAAAATGGGGAGGCCCCATGAGCTAAAGTGGTACCTCAGGTTCAGAACAGTTTCAGGTTAAGAACAGACCTCCAGAACGAATTAAGTTTGTAACTGGAGGTACCACTGTATTTCTCTTCCCTAGGATGCTGTGAATTTTCACAATTGCCATGAGAACTTCTTCATGAAAACAAAGCTCATTTTGCTAGCCCAGTGGATCTACTATCAATGGACTATGGGGTACAAATCCAGGATCTTGCAACCCAAAGGAAGACCCTCACATCCAATGACCATGTCATATCAGCAGTACAGTGGTACCTCAGGTTAAGAACCTAATTCATTCTGGAGGTCCGTTCTTAACCTGAAACTGTTCTGAACCTGAGGTACCACTTTAGCTAATGGGGCCTCCCGCTGCCGCCACGCCGCCACCACATGATTTCTGTTCTCATCCTGAAGCAAAGTTCTTAACCCGAGGTAATATTTCTGGGTTAGCAGAGTCTGTAACCTGAAGCGTATGTAACCTGAAGCGTATGTAACCCGAGGTACCACTGTATTTGCATCAACAGGCTCCTCCCACTGGTGGTTAACCCTTGTTAGACTCACCCCTCCCTGAGGGGGTGGAATCACGCTCTGTTGTTTTATCCAGTGCCTAAGCCAATACCTCCCACATGCTGTAATCAATAAAGTTGTGGCCTTTTTTAGCCCATTAACCTAATATACTGTTTCCATGTGTCTTTCTTATCCCCAAGTGGGTGGCGGGTCCTTGAATCACAAATCTACTCATTTGGAGAAAACTGTTGTGGACACCATAAGCAACTTCACAGAAGAAAAACTGGTGATTCAGAACAGAGGGGGAAATCAGACAGCACCCCACAAAAACCGGCAAACCTACAAAATCAAAAGCCCCCCCCCCAATTCATTTGAAATTGGGAGACATGGGGGAAACCACGTTGGGGACCCCAGGGCTAAGGGAAGAGTTAGTGAGCCAATAGGATGCAGACAAATAAGAAATAACATTCTGTTTTTACCTCTATCTGTCTATCTGATGCGTCAATTGAGATTCCTGCATTGCAGGGGCTGGGACTAGATGATACTTGGCATTCCTCCCAACTCTGCGATTCTATGATTCTATGTACAGTGGTACCTCAGGTTAAGTACTTAATTCGTTCCAGAGATCCGTTCTTAACCTGAAACTGTTCTTAACCTGAAGCACCACTTTAGCTAATGGCACCTCCTGCGGCTGCTGCGCCGCCGCCGCACAATTTCTGTTCTTACCCTGAAGCAAAGTTCTTAACCCGAGGTACTATTTCTGGGTTAGCGAAGTCTGTAACCTGAAGCGTCTGTAACCCGAGGTACCACTGTACACATGTGTACATAACACAAGAAGATGGGGCTCTGCTTCCAGAAAATAACAGATGAAAAGCAGACACAAGGGAAACAACAGAGGAAGAGGAGAGAGCCAAGAGTAAACAAGGAAGCAATATTGAATCGTTTCACTTACATCAGCTTATTGCAGAAGACAGGGCATTCGTTCTGCAACTTGTGACCCTAGACTTGGGATCCAGCACAAGAAAACCAAAGCAAGCCCCAAGGGTTTGCTGACCATAGTGTTCTTCTGAAACCAAGTCATTTCACTAGAACAACTTGTCCCTTCTATTCATGGCGCATCCACGTAATGGTGATGGACTCTCTCCATCATCTCTCCACCCTTCTCCCTTCAAATGAGAATACCTGTACAGGTGAGTAGTTTGGTCAGAACAGCAGCACTGAAGATGGAAGTTGCCCAACACCATTTTGCTCACCAGAATTGTCCCCCAGGCTGCTGTTTGCCCCACAGGTATTTAACTTCCCTGTAGCCCCCGACTGAACAAATAGTAGCCTGCCATTTTGATCGTGAAAAATGAAATGGGAGAAAGCGTTTAAAAAAGATCCTCTCCTGCAAACTGCTCTGACTATTTCATTAAATTTAATCTATTCGACCATTGATATCCCATGCAACATGCAGTTCAGCCCTCCCACCCGCTGAATATACAAAACTACAGCCAATATACAGTACAGTGGTACTTCGGGTTAAGAACTTAATTCGTTCTGGAGGTCTGTTCTCAGTGGCGTAGCATGGGGGGTGCAGGGGGGGCCGGCCGCACCGGGCACAACATCTGGGGGGGGGCGTGCTCGCACTCGCAGCTCTCTGCCCCTACCTGGCTCACTCACTCTCTCTCACTGCAGTGCTGGCTGTGCGAATCCGATCCGAGCCGCTGGGTCGCCGCCCACTGTGGAGGGGGTGGGTGCCAGGCATGCGGTGCGGAGAGAGAGCGAGGGACTATCTGGGGGAGGGACAGTGCAGTGGCTGTCCAGCGCAGCGCTGAGCGCGGGAGAGAACCACACCAGACCAGCCCAGGTAGCAGCAAGAAGAAGCTGGCAGCGGCGGCAGGTTAGGGGTTAGGGGGCGCAAATTACTTGCCTTGCCCTGGATGCTGACAACCCACGCTACGCCGCTGTCTGGTCTTAAAGTGAAACTGTTCTTAACCTGAAGCACCACTTTACTTAATGAGGCCTTCCACTGTCACTGTGTCGCCGCTGCACAATTTCTGTTCTCATCCTGAAGTAAAGTTCTTAACCTGAGGTAATATTTCTGGGTTAGTGGAGTCTGTAACCTGAAGCGTATGTAACCCAGGGTACCACTGTATAAATATATTGAAAGCTGCTGCCTGGAGAACTTTGGTTAGTGTGGGGGGTGGGGCAGAGATAAATAACTTTCTTTTGTTCCAGTTTTTAGGATACTGTTCTGGCGGCTACTGAGAAATCCATACAAATGGAAAACATCATGTTTGCTCCCATTGCTGGTTCCCCCGAGTTAAATGCTGGAAGGTTTACACCAGGCATGTCTAAAGTCCGTCTTGGGCGCCTAATCTGGCCCGCTCAACAACTTCAATCCTAAAAAAAGAAAGCTCAACAACTTTGACTGGCAGTTTGGTGTTGACCCCCACGCCCCTTCACTTCATCAAAACTGGCCCTCTTTGAAAAAAGTTTGGACACCACAGGTATACACTATATTACGGCAAGGGAATCGTAGCTTGTTAACTTGCCCAGAATGAATTATTTCCATTTGATTTGTATGGAGTTGAATTTTGTACGGAGTAGCTACTTTAGCATGATTTGTATGGAGTCCAATTTTCAAATGAAGGGGAAAAAATAATCACCTGGGCATAATTTTCTCCTACAGGATATCGGTCGCAAACCTTGGGACAGATGACTTCATGGTCAGTCATGTGCCTTGTGTCAAGAGGCACAGCGATGCATTTGTTCCTGCTTGCTCCTGTCCAAAGATCATATCCCTTTTCCAAGGCAGCATGAAAGAGTAAAGTGCAACACACGATTTCAAACTGAGTAATGAGAATCTCTTCTGTTTGCCACCCGATGACAAGGAAGGTCTAATCTCTTTGACATGTGGGGCAGGCGCTAGCTTGGAATGACACCTGGCTGTTAACACCTGTGTTTCCACCCTTCGAGACCTTTCCGCTACTTCAGGTTAACCTGACATGGGGAAAGACATCTGCACATATTAATGAATTTATTATTTCGGTCACAGACCGGTTCCAGCCCACATACAATATCAAGGAAGTTATAAAACACAATAGGGATACGTTTGAATTTGCAATTAGGTATAACAGGGACAATACAGATATAGCAACAGTTTAAAAATATATATCAATTAAAACTTAGTCACTAACATATAACCTAAAATCATCATTTAAGGCCTGAATCATTATGATAGCACAGCTCATTCCCTAAGTTTTATGGCAATCGCGCAGAATTTGGTTACCCTTAATGTGATCTCAGGATCCTTGTCCTCTACCAGGGATTTTAGACACTGAAGTTCGGATTCATTTGGAGATTTTTGCATAGCAGGGGTGATAAATACCGAGCATATATCCCCGTAGAAACGGCAGCGTAACAAGGCATGAGAGACAGTTTCTACCTCCATCAAGCCACAGGGGAGACTCGTTCTGCGTATGGTTTACCCTTGAATCTGCCCTGCAATAAGGCAGATGCAGCATGTTGAATCTTGCAAGGGTAAATGACCCGTCTGTATTTAGGTATTTGTAATTTTGACAAATAATTTGCTGGGGTTAAATCCTCTCCCATTATCTTTCATTGCTGGGTGTTTATTCACCTCGCCCACGTGGCATTGCAGTTCCACATCCCAAATTCGTTGGCGGATTATTGCTCTGAGAGCCAGTGTGGTGTAGTGGCTAAGAGCGGTAGTCTCGTAATCTGGGAAACCGGGTTCGCGTCTCCGCTCCTCCACATGCAGCTGCTGGGTGACCTTGGGCCAGTCACACTTCTCTGAAGTCTCTCAGCCCCACTCACCTCACAGAGTGTTTGTTGTAGGGGAGGAAGGGAAAGGAGAATGTTAGCCACTTTGAGACTCCTTAAAGGGAGTGAAAGGCGGGATATCAAATCCAAACTCCTCTTCTTCTTCTTCTTCTTCTTCTTCTTCTTCTTCTTCTTCTTCTTCTTCGCCTCTAGCTTTCCCATAACCTACAGCTATCAGGGCCTGTGGGGAAAACCCCAAACCTCTTAGCTTTTCATGCAACATCTGCATATATTTAATTCTTCTCATTTGGGGGGATCCATTTCCATGTTGTGTTTACGTGGGAGTGGAATGTATTCATGCCTGAGGCAGAAAATCCCAGTGCAGCTCCAAGCAAACAACAACAACGATGATCAGGAAGTGCCACCTTAGTCCCAGCAAAGGAAGACTGGATAAAAAAACTTATGGAATATGCAGAAATGGCAAAACTTAACCGGAAGAATAAGAAAATAACATTTTAAAAAAATAAAAGAATGGAAATGGTTTAATGTCCTTCAACATTATTTACCTGTGGCATTTAATGACATCACAAATGCATCACGAAGCTCCAACAATTGTCTGAGTTCTCTGCACACTTAGGTCCTGCTTGGCTATTGTGAGAACAGAGGGTGAAAGATCACTAACACCTCCTTTCTCGCCCCCTCTCTCCCCTCAACCTCACAATGTCTGTGACAGCAGCGTCTCATGCTGTATGTAACTGACCTGTAGAAGGGACTCCATGAATTGAAAACATTGTGTTGTATGTACCCTTGTTAACTATGAAAATCCTTTAATAAAAACAATTTTAAAAGCCCACTGGACTCAACAGGTTTTTGGCCTGATCCAAGAGGGCTTTTATTAGGGTTGCCATTATTTCAAAAAGTGAAAATTTGGACAGGAAAATTTTGCCCAAAAGTTGTTGAGGGTTTTTTGGCAAAATCACAAAGAAATTGGAAGGTTTTTTTTTACCTATTTCTGAGGAAAATAGGCAAAAACAACTCTAACGAAATGGGCGCTTGCATTTTCCCAGATATTTTGACAATTTCAAAATGACTGCAAATTGTAGCCACTGCTAGACCATGCTCAGAATAGACTCGGTGAAATTAATGAATATGACTAACTTGGGTGCATTATTTTCATTAGGTCTACTCTGAGTAAAAACTTAGTGGGGGGAAACTGCTAGGCCACCCTGCAGTGGTGGCATAATAATGTGAGAAATGATGCTTCGCTTTATTGAAAAAAATAATTGATACAAATTTCACTTGAAAACGCCACACAAAAAATAGTAAAACCCCAACAGGTGTGCAAGGAACTTAGATACTGTTTCTGAGTTGACAAAGCCAAATCTGACTCATCTATCTCTTCATCGGGACAACTCCAATATTGCTATATTGGCTAAAGCCACAGAACATGATGTCTATTTTTTTTGGAGAGTTTTGAGACGAATCATATACCTTGATGACTGGTCCAAAATTGAGCTCCAAACATTCAGAAGCAAGTGGGAGGGTGAAAAGAGAGAAGCGACACCCTGGGCCGTATATTTAGCAGGGATGTGGGGTTGTAGCTTCAAGCTGTTGCCACAACAAAGTCCTCTTGATAAACAGCAGATCTCCACTTGAACCAGAGCCAAGGGAGCACTCTGGTGTTTGCCTGAATTTGGAACGCCTTCATTTGACAGATATGATTCTTAAACGGAGTGCAAAGTAAAATATTTTCAAAGCACGTAACGAGGGCTGCCTAAGAGGGTTCTCATTGATTTCCAGCAGTTATTCATCGCAGCTGGCTGATGGGTGTCCTCACGCAACCCTCCGACATTGTCAGGGTAATTCATCTCCCATCCCCTACAGTATGATTTCTTTCAGATGTCATGCCAGAGGTTCATGTACAGATCCATCTTGCACATTGCAAGAAGCTTCAAACGTTTGAGGCAGATTGGAAATGCATGTTCACCCATTTGCCACCAATGGAGGGAACAGATGTCTTTTGGTTGCAGGGAGACTGCGACACACACCATGTGTGGCTCAGTGGTACCAATGTTGAGCTGGTTGCGTTCAGTGTGTGTCAGAGGGACTGCATACAATGGCTTCCAAACACATGTCTTTGGGCAAAATAGAGAACCCTGCCGTTTCAACACATGGTGTATGTGGATTACGGGTGGCGCTGTCGTTTAAACCACTGAGCCTCTTGGGCTTGCTGATCAGAAGGTCGGCAGTTTGAATCCCCATGACGTAGTGAGTTCCCATTGATCTGTCCCAGCTCCTGCCAACCTAGCAGTTCAAAGCACGCCAGTGCAAGTAGATAAATAGGTACTGCTGTGGCGGGAAGGTAAATGGTGTTTCCATGCGCTCTGGTTTCCGTCATGGTGTTCTGTTGAGCCAGAAGCGGTTTAGTCCTGCTGGCCACTTGACCCGGAAAGCTGTCTGTGGACAAACGCCAGCTCCCTTGGCCTGAAAGCGAGATGAGGGCCGCAACCCCACATTCGCCTTTGACTGAACTTAACTGCCCAGGGGTCCTTTACCTTTACATTTTTGTACACAAGTGCACATGGAACACATAAGGGAGAATCAATACCAGACCCAGCTTTTGGGAGATCATTGGGCAAAATGGCCACAATGTTCCCTGAATGGACCCACCTGCCTTTTACCAATCAGCCCTGTCCATTACTTGTCCTCTCTCTCTGGACCCAAATGACTCCATGCTGCGTACTGCAGGCATAACCAACATGGTGCCCTCCAGATTGTGTTGGACTGCAACTCCCAACAGCCCCGATGTTAGGGACTGGCTGAATGAGGAGAGTGGTGGAAGCTGCCTGCCCAAGAGCCCCCCCCGGGAGGGCACAGAAGATGACCACTTACAGTAAATGTTGGATCCTGGTGGTGGGACACTGAAGAGCAGTCTGCAGAAGGGACGAGCTGGGAGGTGCTAGAAGCAGGGGGATTGAGCGATCAGGAGGCATCAAGAAAAGGAGGGTATTCCAGGACAGGGTTAGAGGTTGAGAGTCACAGTGTGGCAGCAGGGATTGGCCCTGCCACATAGCAGCAGGAAAGTCCCAGTCCCGTTGGATTGCCTCCCTCTCTGACATCTTAGTTTAGGAAAGTTCTGCATGCTCCTGAGTAATGGTCCAGACAGGCCCAGAGGAGGAGCTCGCTTCCTTGACACAGCCTTCATCTGCTTGGGAGGGATCCAGAGTGAAAGGCTGGGGGTGGAAGGAGCTAGTGGTCAGTTTCAGCAATGTCTTAGCTGGATGAATACAAACCAGAGGACTCTGTTGTGTTGTTATTTTCTGTTAATAAAGAGCTAATTGCATTCCGTGGCTCCCGTGTGTGTGCCTGCTGCCTTGTGGTTGACCTGTCTCCTTGACAGCTTTTTGGCCAATGGATGTTGTAGCCCAGCAACATCCGGAGAGCATCACATGTGCAACTGACCATTGCCCTGGCACAGAGGAGGAAGGCAGGATAGGCAGAGGCTGCTGCTGCTGCTCCTGGGCTTTGCTTCTGCTGCTTTTCACTTGCTCGGAGATTGCAGGTAAACAGGCAGCAGCGCAAGGAGAAAAAGCCATAGAGCTAGAGAGGTCCAGGGGTTGACCCTCAGCCATCAGCTTGAGTATGGGCCCTTGCAAGTGCTTGAAGATGCTGAACCTTGGTGCCAGCCCTACTGGAGCCAATAAATGATCTGACCTAATTTGCATCTCTCTGACAAAGGGTTCAACCACATTTTAGACCATACTGTGTCAGTGGCATAGCGTGGGTTGCCAGTGCCTGGGGCTGCACAGAGGTTGGTGGGAGGGAAATGGAAGGATTATGCATGTGTATTCAACTGCCTAATGGCATCCATGTCACCCAGGAGATTGCAGCTGCAGAGATAAGAAAAGAAGTGTTGTTCCGTTGTCTGGAGAGGTCACTTTCTGGTTCACATGGAGAAGCCATTTTCAATGGAGCCCAGCAAGTGCCAAGCTGTTTTGAGGCAGCACCAGGTGTTGAAACTTTGCTCCCCT